TGATTTTAGCCAGTACATCACATAACTTTTTTATTTTGTTATGTTGTGTGTGGGATGGTTGTCTCTTTATCTCATTCTGTTTCACAGGTGACTGGATAGGAGCTGAAGAGTTTCAGTGGTCCTTAAGAGTTCCTTGGAGCAACTCTTGAGGGGGGAGGTGTTCAAGCCCCCTCCAGTGGAGGAAACAAAGCACTCATACAATTAACACAAATGTTGCTGTGCCGGTGTCACCGGCTAAGGATTCTTAAGATGTTCCTGTCCTCACCTCTGTGTTATCATTGGTCTGGCTGTGTGCAGTCTTTAATTGCTTTGAGTCTATCAGACAGGTGGGGCCCCGCTTCTGGTCTGTAACAAGATGGCGCCTGTGCTTGGCTTAGTCGCGGTCACCGGCCACTTTTTGAAACTTTTCTAACTAACCTTCTCTTTTCCACCTTGCTCCTGTCTGCGATCCTCTTCAGTAGTGTCCCTGCTACTATCTCCTCTGATCGACAGACTCTTTTGTCCTTCCGTTCGTTCACGATTGCCCAAGATGCACCGAGGATGTACGTCACTGTTTGTTTATCTGAGTGGCGCACTGGCCCGGAGCCAAACGACGATTCCAACCAGGACACCTCCAGCGATGTTTACCCGGTCCCGGGAAAACGTCGGAGGAAAAGAGGTAAACGAGCAGGAATCCAGGTGAGAATGAGAATTCTCTTAAAGCATGGTTTATCTAGTAAACATTGGCATGATCTTCTTGCTTCTTTACCTTTGGCAACTTGAGCGCCACTTCCGCTTTCCCGCCAGGCCGTTTTGCGACGCGGTTTCTCCGTCCAAGTTTTTTAAGGTCGTTTTATCCTCATTCCTCAGTGGTTTCTCCTCCTGTTCCCTCCATAAGTGGTTTTTCTAAACACCGTGGATCTAACCCTGCTGATTAACGTCCACTAACTCCAGCTGTTTCTGTAGTTTCTGATTCCTCCACCTCACTCAGCATGGCTCTATTAAATACCCGCTCTGTTAACAATAAGTCCTTCCTGCTCAATGATCTAATTCTCTCTTAAAACCCTGGATTTTTTGTTTCTGACTGAAGTTTGGCAGCAAACATCTGAATATTCTGGTCTGATTGAACTCTGCCCGAGTGGTTATTCTTTTCTTAGCCAGCCCCGGGGTTCTGGTCGTGGTGGAGGCCTAGCTGTTGTTTTCAGAGACCATCATCCATGTAGCTCTACAACCTCTGGTCACTTTGCTTCCTTTGAGCTGCAGCTGATTAAAGTCGGGCGTAAGGACCCGTTCTACTGTGCTGTGGTCTATCGTCCACCTGGTCCAAACAGTTCTTTCCTTCAGGAGTTTAGTGACTTTCTATCCTCCACTGTGAAGCTGTCCAGACTGGTGATTGTTGGTGACTTTAACATCCACGTTGATGATCCCTCTGATAACTTTGCCATGAATTTCTCCAGCCTTATGGACTCCTTCAGCTTTACCCAGCATGTTTCTGGACCCACACACACCAGGGGGCACACTCTAGACCTTGTTTTTACCCTGAGTCTAAATGCTGACAGTGTTTGTCCTGAGGATGTTTATATTTCAGATCACCATTGCATTTTCTTTAACTTGTCAGTTTCTGCGTCCCCAGCTCCTGCTCGCCGTATGGTTAGTTCTCGTTTTCTTAATGAGAGCACAGCTAGAAATGTTTCTGCTGCTTTTGATCCACCCTGTTCTTCTGATAACGACCCAGATTCCTTAACTTCTCAGTTTAACGAGCACTGCCTCTCCATTCTGGACAACATCTGTCCTGTCAGAACCAGATCAGTTCCTGCAGTGAACCCTAGTCCCTGGTTTAATGACAGCTTTGCAGCCTGAAGCGCCAATGCAAAAAAAATTGAGCGCTTGTGGAAGAAAACCCATCTCCACGTCCATCTGCTGCACCTAAAGGATCTTCTGACATCCTTTAACTATGCAGTCAGGGATGCTAGGGTTTCCTATTTCTCCAACCTGGTGTCCCAGAGCAAAGGGAACCCCAAGGTGCTGTTTAACACCATCAGCAGCATCGTCTCTCCTGCCTCTCCTACAGCTTCCATCCACTCTGTTGCAGACTGTGAGAACTTTCTGTCTTTCTTTGTGGACAAAGTCAATAAGGTTAGATCTAGCATCTCTCCTTCAGCCTTATCGCCGCCTCTCCCGACTCCAACCAGGCCCATCATCCTAGATAGCTTTGCTCCTGTTTTTTTGCCTGAGTTAACCAAACTAGTTAACTCTATGAAGATCTCTGCATGCCCCCTCCACATCTTACCTAAGAGTGCTTTTCAGTCCATCGGTCCCAGCGTGCTCTCTATAATTAATGCTTCTCTGGTTTCTGGTCAGGTCCCTGCTTACTTTAAGAACGCTGTAATCCACCCGCTTCTTAAAAAAATCGAGTCTGGACCCCCTCTCTCCATAGCAGCTTCAGACCCATCTCTAAACTTCCGTTCGTCTCCTAGATTTTGGAAAAGGTTGTGGCTTAAGTTTAAAACCCAAAATTGGCTTCACTGAAGGACTGGAAAAGATCAATTTAAAGACTGAAGGCAGAGAGGAAAATTTTACCAGCCTGACCCAAACAAATTCTTGTTATCTGAATCTGACGCCCTGGTAGCCTTGAGCTGCAAGCAACTAAAACCCCCACGAAGGAATGCAGACAGATGCTGTGAAAACCTGTGTCGGAGCAGAACCTCCCTGAACCGTCTGCAGGTGGTTCAGAATGCCTGTGCCCGGCTTCTGACCAAGTCCTCCAAACACAACTACATCACCCCGCTTCTCCTTTAGTTTCATTGGCTGCCAGTCAACTTCAGGGTTCATTTCAAGATCCTGGTTCTGGTCTATAGGGCCTTACATGGACAAGCACCATCTTACATTGGTAATCTTCTTAGTCCCTACACCCCCAGCAGGTCCCTGAGGTCCAGGTGATTAAAGCCTACTGTTGTGCAGCACACCAGGCTAAAAACCAAAGGTGACAGATCATTTGCTGCTGTAGCATCACGAAATGGCCTGATTTTAAGACTCACAGGTCAGATCCACAGCCTGGGTCACCTTGCCCTGGCTACTACTCCAATCTCTGATAGTCCTTCACAGGAGACTTAAAGTCTACTGCCATTCCTTTGATCTGCAGCTGTCTGCTTATCTGACTGCTATTCCATCCACAGCAAGATGAGGACATTTCAAGATTTAAAAGAATCATTTAGATTAACTCTTTTTACTGCTAATCATCAAGGTTCATTAGAACTGTGTTTAATTACTGAAATGAATTATTATTCTTTGGTTTATTATTATTTATGATAATCAGTAATGTTAACTATGATTAGTAATCATGTGCACTTATACACAGAAACACAGGTCACAGTAACTAGGTTAAAGGTAATTTGCACTCGCATGATCTTTTTCCATAACACCAGAACCTTCTATCTTCAGGAAGGCGTGTTTCTGACGGTTTGTTAAAACCTTCCTTCTACATGTCAAAACCTGATTAGTTGGAATATGGAACTAGTCATCTTTTAAAACAGAACTCTTGTCATTTGCGAGTGAGTTCTAGAGAAGCTGGGACGGCCGCCCACACTCTCTTTAACCAACAAAGCAATTTATGTCATGCTGGTAGAGTTGCTCCGACACAATAAAACGACACCTGCAGAACAAGCTGATGTTACGAGATTCCTTAAGATTCTGCAGATGCAAACCAATTCCACCTGTGTGCCTGTGGCATCTCTAGGACCGGAGAAGTCGGTACCATCGGTCTTCCCTACCGGACCCAGTACCCTGAGGCTGTTCAACATCCTCCTCTGACCCCCGGATCCACGACGAGGGTCGCCTGACGGTGAGGTAGACACACATTGCGTCTGAATGCTCCTTTAACTCATTCACTGCCGGCCGTTTTCTGATCACTAACGGCCTTCGCTGCCAGCGTTTCTCACCGTTTTTACTGTTTTTTGAAGAGTCACAGAACGCTGCGCGCTAGCATGATGTCGATGCCAAAACAACCAAAACAAAGAGGAGACTCACTTCTTACATCAGGAAGAATCCGCGTGTTTCGAGCGTTATCCGTTCTTTCATAATCCGTTGTCGAATTGTGATCGGCAGACACTTTTAAGGTTCGCGCCTCACTTTTTTTACAGGAACGGCCCAAAACGATCTCCTAACACATGGCTGTGTTGCTTCCTGATCATGTGATCTGTGACGTATGCGGATGAAGATCGGCTTCAGCGCGGGGGCTCGTTCCGATGCTCAAACAGTAAAAAAATGCAAATGACGATTTTTTGGCACGCACGCTAAAGTGGGCATGCAAATGTGGAATATTGCATGTGTATTTGTGCCTGTTAATGATTACAGCATTCATCTTAAAACAATTGTTGTTGTTTATTCACTGTAACTAAAACAAACTTAAAAAGAAACAAAAACAGCCAAATTTGGGGGCGATTTAATTGTTTCAAACAAGTCCCCCCCCCCCCCCCCCCAAAAAGACCCAAAGCATCATTACAGCGTGCCGTATCTCCTCTGAAACATTAATGGACAATGATCTGACACAACAAGTTGAGGGTAATGTCAGTTTTTAATTAAGTAGCAGACTTGATTCCAAGATAACGATATTTGCTTTGTGCACATTTTGATTTTCAGGGTGAGGTCAGTCTCATTATATCAGGACTTGATGAACCCAAAGCACGAGGGAGCCTTCATCGCTTTCTCAGCGGCGATACCAGTAAGTTGAGTAGATGATGGGATTAATTTGCTCACTGAGCGAGGGCAGGTAATGAGAAGAGAGATGATGGACTTTTACACTGACAAGAATGAGAAGACAAATCTTGCAGCTGCAAAGTCCCTTTTAATGTTATGTTATGTTTACAAAACACAATCAGGGCATGTTCACACTGCTACAAATTAACGAAAGAGGTGAGAAGATGCAGAAAGATGCCACAGATTCTGCAGTGCCACATTTTCTCACATTCTTTCTTTATTTATATTTCTACGCAAAAGATCACACAGAGCAGGTGGTAACTCACCGTGTAAAGTTCTCCTCGGGGTAGCAGCGATTTCTCAGTAGCCCCGCCCACAGCTGCACCCCGATGATGCCAAAGATAAAGAATACAAAGAAGCAGAGGAGGAGCACATTACCCAGCATGGGCAGTGTGTCGAGCAGCAGGTTTACCAGGATGCGCATGCCTGCAGGGAGACACAGACAACAGAGTTTACATAACCGCCGAGGTTTGTCTTCATAGAGTAACACGCTGAATGTTATCTATAAATCAGGACATGGATAGAGCAGCTGTCCAGTGTGTTTTCTTTGTTTGCTTCTTTAAATTCACACAAAACTTTCTGATTAGATGCATGCTCTGGTGACCTAAACAAATTATTTTACCATACTATCACCTTAATGTTGAATTCAAAAGAAGTTTTTCTTCAAATAAATATAAAACAAAGAATAAATTAAAACATTTGAAAAACCTGAGCAAGATTTGTTTGACCCAATCACCAAAGAGATTCTTCTGCTTTATTTCTAAAATGTTGTGCGTTTTCTCATCCTGTCATAAAATATCCACACAATTTTAACATTTCTGGGGTTAAAACTGTGCAACATCTCTTGAAGTTCATCACACATTCAAGGTAAATGACAAAGTAACTGAGTAACTAGTAAAATACAATAAAAGACCTGAAAAGGCATGGTCATAATCTCTTGAAGGTTTGATTTACAAAGCCTGGTAAAGCAAAAATTTCGGTTAGGCTGCTTTATTCTTCAAATTGTGGTGATTTTTTTTTCTTTTATGAAAAAATAAGGTTGATTCTGTATTTTTGTGTGATACTTTGTGGAACATCAAAGAAAAATGTTTTCACAGCAGAAAAAGAGACAACTTTATTTTTTGTTGCTGTTATCGGAGCTTCAGCCAATGCACATGATGCACGGATTCAAAAACATTCAAAAAACTTTATTTGTCACTGATTAACTTCACATTGGTAACAAAGATGGCTGCAGGTTAGAAAACCAAAACGAGTAAGTGGAAGAAACAACATTCTCCCTCTCCTGATAATAACATTTTACTTTCTTTGACATTGAATGTGCTACTACTAGTTTACCGTTAGACTCGCTAGGATAAATACAATAAAGTTTATCTTTCACCAAATAGAATATTTAGTAAGAAATCACAATGTAACCAATGTAACTTGGCATATATCTTGTGTGTGTGTGTGTGTGTGTGTGTGTGTGTGTGTGTGTGTGTGTGTGTGTGTGTGTGTGTGTGTGTGTGTGTGTGTGTGTGTGTGCGTGTGTGTGTGTGTGTGTCTGCCTGCGCTGTCTTCCCGATCCCCAGTGAGTCGTGATGGATGGCAGCTTAATCTGAGCCAGGATCCTCTGGAGGTTTCTTCCTGTTAAAAGGGAGTTTTCTTCTCCACTGTCGCTAAATGCTTGCTCAGTATGAGGATTGCTGTAAAGACTCTGACACAAGTCAGTGACTTGATGCAATTTGCTGGGTTCCTTATATAACTGATCGGCTTAATGTTTGTTATGTGAAGTGCCTTGAGAAGGCTCTTGTCATGACTTGGCGCTATATAAATAAATTTGAATTGAATTGAATTGAATTATTGCAGTCCAAATACACTTGGCACTGGTGTGTCATTTGAGAGCACGCCTGAAGTTTCTGTTTAAAAAAAACTCTGTAAAATTGTTGTTCTCTACTTTATCAAACTCAAATTTTGTACTGCTACTTTCAAGAAGTAGGGCTATGAAGTCTGAAGCTACTGATGCATTTTTCCAAAGAGTTATTTTTCCTGAAATCTACTTTTTTAGGCAGTACAGGAAAAAAAAATCTACTTTTTTTACAATATTCCATGTCAATGCACACTTTATCAGTGACTAATAATTACACATCTCAACAAACAGGCCTTGTGGTTACTGAAATACACTTATCAAAGTGTGGATTTGTCAATTTCAAGCAGATTTCTCAAAAAAATAAATAAATAAATAAAAAAAGGCCTTGGGCTCAACAGGTTTAAGTGGGCCAACAGTTGTTAAATAAATCTGCACACACTCTGGTGCTCCTGTTTCAGGAAGCAAAAGTTAGTCGGAGAAGACGGGGAAAGAAAATGTAAAGTTTCAGAGTCTTACTCATTGATATTTATGATATGTGAGGCCTTGCCTCTGATCGGATAACAATGTGACTGTTTTATCTCCACAAATAACACAAGCCTGAAGGAGTTCTGTCATGTTGTGGCGTTGCCAATGCTACCAGTTAGCTTCTACTAGCCGAGACCTGCTCTGCTCTCTCCTCACTACAAAAATAAAAACAGCCTTCCCCGTCTACCACCAAGGTGGGTGGGTCAATTAATTCAATTTTACAGTGACGTAGATCTGTGCAGCCTTTTCTGACCCGAGTGTTTCAACATCTTCATGTTCAGCATGCCTGTGAATCTCAGAGTGATCGTTTGTATTTCAAAAAGTATTATACATTTCAATAAGCCTCGCCTTTAATTTTACCTACAAACACAGACTTCTATATACTTTAAACCTGACTACAGTACTCTCTTTGTCAAAATCACCCAACATTATCTTCTTTGTCCTCCAATCCTCAGACATGGAACCCTATTTTTCCTTCCATTTCCATGTAAGCCATTGCATTTTCATAATGAGCCAATCAATCACAAAACTTCCATGTAATTATGATCCAACAGCTCATTACTTTAGCTCAGTACTCCATTAGAAAACCAAACCAGGGGTCAAACTCTACATGTAACACAGATTAGGGATTGATGCAGCATTTAGCTGACTAATCAGGGCTAAGAGGGTACGCAGCCCACACATCTTCATCTAAGAGTTTCCATAAATCTTTCTGTGACTTTAAATGTTTCACTTTTTGAATTAATCTAATTTGAAAAACGGGTGCATCCTTCATGGCTAATAACATTTGTTGATTTTTCTTTCTTTTTCTTTTGTCATTTTAAATCCCCAACATATCAAATAGCTGATCAATAAGCATAAATTGCTCTATAAATAAACTTTATTCTTGTTATGAGTCCCTTTTTTGAGCCTTGGGATAGCCTTAATTACTGATTTGAAGGATTTTTTTCTAAATGCTGGTAGAATCAAACTAGCTGATGGTTAGTCTCACCAAATTAGCTTCAGCCGAACTACAGGGAATGTGAGCCCCAACCCTAGCCACATTTGTGCTGGAAATTAACCATCATAGAGTGCAAATCCCTTTGAGAAACTTGAAACAGATGTCTGAAATTGATCGAGTCTGTTTGAAGTCAGTAGCAGCTTAAAGCACTGTGGTAATAAATTAGACTTTCCAACGTAAAGTATATTAACATTTAGGCTAATTAACTGATGTTTCCACAAACAATGTGTCATGGAAGCAAGACAAATCCTATAAATTTAAGAGAAAATTAAATAATTTTTAATAATGTTATTTAGGCCTCCTTACTCATTTGGGCCACCAATATGCTTTCTGCAACCAAGTAGAATGTGGCTAGAATGCAGAAAACTTAGGAAACCATCTAAAGGAAAAGTAATGGTGTAGCCATGAATTCTCAATAAAATGAATCAAAATGAGAGCATAATGGTATTTATTTTATTAAAGTTGGGATACAAGTTTTAAATGACTTAACATGCTTAAATTCGACTATCTGACCCGGTTTTGTGATATAAAGTTGGTAATCTTTCAGAAGTCCCTCCATTGGCCTCTACAGCAAAATGAACCATTTATGCATACCCAGAGAGTTGACCAATAGAAATATCCACCAGACGGAGCAGTCCATCAATGAGGGTGTCACCCAGTCAGCTTAGCACACCAACGAAGAAGAAGAAGTTGGAAGTTTGCAGGGGAGCAGCCAAAATGCCTAAGTTACACGTTCCTTCTTCTTCTTCTCAAAGAAATTTCAACCAGTTTAAGGGCCATGATATACTTACTGTTTAACTGTGTGTTTAAAATGGCTGCCATGCATTTCTTGCGTTGATTTGAAACATTGTGCGCATCCCACGAAATGAATGTGACGTGTCCGGAAGCTGCAATATACAAGTAACCAGTTGACAAATCGAGAAAGACTTTCACATCATCTACGATACTGCTGCTCTTACTTTTTTCCATCATGATCTCTAAATTAACCAGTTACTGTTTTGGTTGTACCCACAAACCCGGCTCTCTGTCCGGTCTGAGTGGTCTAGTGCGCACCCTAGTGGAACACTCCAGCACTACATGCAGTGCAGATGCAGTCTGCTTTCTGCGCCAACTTGTTAAAAAACAAGTATATCATGGCCCTTGAAGTCCATCTGCAAAATCATTATGCGATGTTTAAGATAGTCAAGTAGAATTAATGCTTTTAAAATATGGAGTGAGCTTCTTGATCTACAAGGGCTCAAAATTGATGAAGGGTTGGCAATGTTTCCTTTGCACAGGTAAATACTAAATAATTTATTGTATTTCAGATAATTGTAACCAACATTTTATATTGTGACGACACCACTGTCATTGGGTCTTTATTTGTTTGTTTGTGTTTCATTGTGTTCTTTTCAATTGCAGGCAGCTCGTTAGGCAGCCTTGGAGGCACCTGGACTCAGGGTGTGGGGCTGCCAATAAAGCCTGCTGGTTCCTGTTTGCCAAGGGTTAACCTAACCCTAACCCTAACCCTCGTGTGTGGTGGAGAGTCCTCCCTGGCCATTTAGTTGTACCTTGAAGATTGCTTTCGTGGTTTTCTTAGTTTCTGCAAATTAAATCCATTTGTTTGCATCCCCACTCCTCTGTTTGGTCTCCCTTCTTGTTGCAACCCACAACTCCTAGACAGGGTTGTAACAATATAAAGGGATATTCAACCCCTAAGTGAAATTTCCCATAAGTATCTTCATAAGCATATTCCCCAAAAGTAGATAAGTGGGGAAAAGCATTCTGTAATCAGCTCAGTTATCCTCTTTATCTTATTAGCTTTAGCTTAGCATAAACAATGGAAGTGAATGGTGATCTTAATTATCCTTTGTGCACAGTTGAGCATCAGATGACTGGTTTTGGAGTCTAATTTCCTGATATTAGACATCTCACTCCTGCTTGGAAAACAGTAGCGCAACTCTACAACTGAGTTGCAACGTTGGCGTTTTATCTCCACAAATAACACAAGCCTGGAGGAGTTATGCTGTGTGGGGATGTCATCGGTTAGCTTGTTGTTAGCTAACCAACAACAGC